GTATAGTTTCTGATTCTCTCCCTTATCGTATAATTTCCTGAATGTTAATTACTTATTTTAGGACCCATTTAAAACTATTCTAAGATCTTTCTCTGTTATATGGTTACTTCTACGGTGATTTTGGTCCTGTGGCCTAATCTCTGAAGTGACTCACATACCTAAAACTCAATAACAGTACAATTATTTACCAAATTAAATCCTTACCTCCACCCATTTCTCTGAATTTAATTATCTTAAACCTTTTCCCTGCCAAGTCATGCTTTTATAGAATTCTAACAAATTTATATGGTGATTCTTTAAATGTAGAATTATGTTCTATACTTACTTCCTCATAGCATCCAAAACAGCATTTGAGAATCCTGTGAATCAGCCTCAGCTTTCTCTTGCACATCTGACAATCCAGCCAAGACGAACCAGTCATCACTGCTTCTTGTCCTGCATTTAATCAATTCTTTCCCTGTTTTTCTACCCTTGTGCACATTTGACTTCCAGCATATAGAATGTCATTTCTCTTACATCTGCCTATTGAAATCCTAGCCTCTAAATCCTGGATTAAATGACACACACCCCCAAATTAAGCCATAAATCGTGTGAGTTGGAGCTAATCCTATTCTTTCCTGATTTCCAGAGTCTTTGATCTGCATGCTACTTGTGTTCAGGTCCTGTTTCCACCAGCAGGTAATCAGAGGTAGCCAAGGGCAGCCCTGTTTCTGTCCTTGAAGGGTCCCTTCCTCTTTCTTTCCACTCAGAAGCCCCTCCCTCACTCAGACTAGGTGCTTTTAGAAGACCTCCCAGCTCCAGACTTGGTTCAGGGCGGGCCGAGAATGTCTGAGTCTCAACCATGAATTCACGCTACAGTTGGGATAGAGGAGCGGTAAGCAAGATGGCGTGGTGTTATGTCCTGTCTCTACCTAAACCAGCAAAGGCTGCCACGTCTCTTAGAGGAGACACCTGGCATGCTCCGTGTAGATCTTACCCCTCTCTCCACTGCCTTCTTGAACTTTGGCAGACTTTCTTCCCTTTAGCTAGTCACCTCAGCCACACTGGCCACTTTGATAATCTCACCTTACTGCCTCTGCTCTGTGTTCTGGAGTCACACTGCGCTCAGACCTCCAATGAACTAACTCTAAATAGAGAGTGGAAGCAGGGGTGCTCCATGAAAGTCTCACTGGCCTGGCAAGGCTTATCCTGCAAACCCTATTTGATGCTGGTAACCCACAGTACTCTAATGTACTCCTAATGCCCTGCATTCCACTTTTTCCAAATCATTTCTTTCTTCTTAATGTACTCTATAGTTTTCTTATTCATACATTTACTCTATATAATCTGTATAAACAAAGGTAGGGTTCTGTGTCCTTTGTTCACAGATATCTCCCAGGCCCTGCAAGAGTGTGGCTCAGATCAGGATTACAGATATTGCCACTGACCACTCTGTCCCCTTGGAATCACTCTGTTTTCTATAAGCAGGATCCAGATATCCTATCCTTTGGGTCATCAAAAAATACTGATATTATCAATCCCCAGCACCACAAATATATATAGATGGATAGAAAGATAAATAGATAGGTAGATAGATGCTTAACTAGGATGTGTATCCAGTCAGGTTCCACCTTTGGGAGCTGCTGTGGGCCTGGCTCCTGTCTGCTCTTATGGGCAGGGTCACTGCCATGCCCTGCAGCTTCCCTGTCTCCTCCTGCATGGAAAAGAAATCTTATTAACCAGTCAAAGAAATCAAGTCAGGGAAACAGAAAAACCTCCACTGGCCCCTGGGAAATTGAGATTGAGCAGAACAGAAACCCTACATAAAATAAATCTGCAGAAATGCAATAAAATAAATCTGGAGCCAGAGTAAATCAGAAGCTCAGTTTGGGTCAAATGGCTTCCTGATGTCAAAATGTAAATGTAAACCCAAAATGTCATGCCTTCGCACTCCATGGTCCATTTCATGTCTGTTATTTCATTTTATCTTCAAAACAACTCTAAGAAACAAATCATCCCTATCCTAGAAGATGAGAAACTGATACTCCAGGGGAAAAAGTATAAAGCTATAAAAGTATGCGGTGAGTCCGGAACCCAGAAATCATGAGTTACAAATAGTTCTTCCTCCCAGGAGTGTGAGGTTCAGGAGTGCCCAGGGGTTCCCACACATCCAGGGAACTTTGGGCAAATTACAGTGGCACATCAGTTCACAAACCTAATTCATCCCACCATTCTGGAAAAGATGGCTACATTTGTGCCCATGTGGGAAAGATGACCACAGTCATGCTTGTCACCTGATGTAGAGTTTGCCAACAAAAACAGAATTTTGCCAAATGCTTCTTTGTGAACCAAATTTTTCACAAACAAAATCGTTCATGCCACTGTATTTCCATTCTCTGTCACTTTTCTCACCAGTAAAATGGAGTAACAATGCCCTCCATATTAGCTCATTCTTACAAATGGTAAATCAGGGTACATAAGAAAAATCCCTGAAAACAGAGCCTGACACAGGAAAAAAAAGTGTGAAAACATTCATTTTTAAATCATTATTATGTTGGAGGACTTTTTTAAATATATGGAAACCATGAAGCAATCATTTCATTAAAGTCTCCAAACTCCTAATGTGTCCAATTTAAAGTTTCACTTGAGAAGAAAGAGCTGGATAAGATTTAGTGGATAGAAATTGCAAAGATGATTGGGGATTAAAGAATTGGATGCTTGAGGAGAGATTTGTAAAAATTGGACTTTCTTTGAATTTGAAGAGAAAAGAACCAAAAGAGATTTTGGAACAATCTTTGCAAAAAATAGAAAGGGCACAACTGTGTCTACCTGGCAGGGCGCTGAAGTCACCATGCTGACCTCAAAGAGGAAGAGGAGGGTGGATTAGGACACCAAGACCTTCATGTGTGGCTACTAGAAATTTTAGACTCACTGAGAGAAGGGTGGAGCCATCTGGAAATGTCCTTGGAGCTTCTGAAGACCCAGATACAGATGCAGACCATGAATCTCTGAGCAGAAAAGTTGGCCATCCATTTAGGGGGATTGGATGCTCCCTAGTACAGATTTCCTACACCAACTTCTCCATGGACCTTGCGTCCACCTTCCATCCTGCTTTAATTATTACCTGGGCTAAACCACTTACACAGTTCCTACAGACAACAAATGCCACCTGGAAGGTGTTATTGGGGAATCATTAACAATCCTTAATGCTGCCACGCATTGCGCCAGCGCCTGTCAATCAGCAGAACTCAGGAAGGGAGCATAGATGAGTACGTCCTGAAAGTTAGAGCAGAAAAAGGCAGAGATGCTGCCTCACTGAGAGACCGGCAGGGCAGAGGTACCCAGTGGCCAGGACCAGGCAAGTGACCCTGGATGGAAGTCATCTGGGAGCAGAAAAGAATAGAAGGCCAAGGGCACTGCCGCACTGGTCCTCTACGCCCTCAGCCTGCGACTCCTCAAGCAAGAGCTCGCCGAAGGCATGCCTGTGTCCTGTTGACGATTATATTCTCAGGGCCTCTCTGAGCACCAGGTCGCCTGCCAGGCACACAGACAAGGCGTGGCCAGGTGCCACAACACACATACCCGTGAAGCCCCTACAGCTGGAGCTGTGACTTTAAAGTCCCTGAGGACCAGCTCCAGGGCTGCCAGCTCCAAACTGGAACTCTAGCCTGTGTCCCTAGACTAAAGAGAGAGACAACCTGGAAAACAGTAGGTGCTCAGAATATCTGTGAAAGTAGGTTCAACCAATGAGCGAAGCAATAAATGCAGCCAAATAAATAATTTAGTAAGAGTGGTGTTAGAAAGCTTAGGAGAAGAGAGAAGAAGGCACCCGGAGCCCCTCACCCTGGAATACTCTGTGCGGTGTTTCTCAGGTTTGGGTAAGTTGGACCCCTGCCTTTGAGAGGATGGGTCTTGTGAGAGAGACACTGCCATGATGCCTGGGAAGCCAGAGTGACTTGAAAGGTTTAGGACAGGACAAGCTATTGTTTCAGAAGGAGGAGAGAATGACAGGGCCAAAGGGACAAGGGACTGCCCTCTACATGGAGGCTTCTGTCCCCTTCAAATTCTTCCATGCAAAAGCTGATTACGACACCCAAGATTCAGATGATGTTGTCTGTCCCCTGGAGACTGTAAGTCCCTAGAAACCTGTGCCCAGTCCTGTGTGTCCAAGAAGCATCAACTTGCACCATCGTTACAGTGTCCCCACCAACTGAGCCAGGAGGCATAATTGCCAGGAGTGGAAACTGGAGTTGCTCTCAGCCTCAAACTCAGGGGCTCCTGTGCTCATGTCCTGCAGGACCTCGGAACCCTGCAGGGCCCATGGCAGAGTGCAGACAGCTGGGTATCCAGGCACTGGGCCAGACGCTCCCATCAGGATCAGAGTCTGAGCAGAGAAAGGGCTGAAGAGATAGTCATGGGGGAGGAGAAGACTGTCCCGCTGGGAGTCTGGGGAGGCCTGGATCACAGCTAGGGAACCTGCCTTGAGGCTTTTGGCGGGGGGGGGGGGGGGGGGGGGGGGGGGGCATTGCTATTGTCACCACCTGGACCAGCAGGGTGCCCTAGAGGGCCTAGCCAGGTGGGAAAACTTATCCAGCTCCATCCCCATCCTCGAGGGCCTTCTGAGCCCCATCCACGTCCCTCTCTCTGGCAGAGGCTCACTGATATGCAAGCACCTCCAAGGGCAACACCAGACCTTGTCCTGTTCTAGCATCATCCAGGAAGGCTGCCCCTCCAACTCCTGCTCCTCACAGATCAGCGCACATGGCCAGGCTGGCTCTTAGGGTGGCCCTGTCGCCACACACCCTCAGCTGATCCACCGCATGCTGCACAGGTCATTAAGACATCCTGTGGCTGCCTGTCGCGCGCCCTGCCTGTGGGTTCACGGAGGCAGCCTTCCTGGCGGCGCCCGTGCTGTGGCGGAGGAAACACAGGGGAGGAACGAAGGTGTAAGGTGCTATTGCCCTCTGCTGGCAACTTCCAGAATAGCTAGGCTGCTGTCAAAGAAGATAGAGGAGGCCAGAAGGGCGTCATCGTCACCTCTACTCACATTTCTTTTTTTCTACTCACATTTCAAGAGGGAACACAAAGCACTGGCAGGCCTCAGGGTGGCTGTGGACCTGACTGCACCTTGGAGAGCCAGTGACTTATAAAGAGGTGACAGGAGAACAGAGAAAAACGGAATATCAACAGCAGGAAGTCACATTTCTATATCACTTTATGCTTTTAAAAAATAACAAAAAATTTTTTTCAGGCACTGATGTCATATCCGGTTCCTTCAGCTCTGGGGAAGAGCTGGTTTCAAATTTCCATGTCATGGAAGTGGAAACAGAGGCTCAGAGAGGTGCGTGGTCACCCCAAGCAGAGCCTGAGCCCCAGACTCTCCGGCCCACCACTGAAGAGCAAGACAGATCCTTCAGCATCTCCATGGTGAGTCCAATTGGTCCTCATCGCAGAGCCACACACTGGCTGGGCCCTCCGAGGATGTGGCCTTGCGACCTCAGAGGATGTGGCATCTCTCACGGGTGTTAGGAGAGCACCCCAAGGAGGAGACAGACCGTCCTCTTTGCTGACCGATAAGAGAAGTGGGGAAGTGAGGTGGCTCAGGTTAAAAGTCAGAACCGATGTCCTCGTGGTGCTAGCGGGGCCAGGTCCTGACAGTCACCTGCTGCCAGGGTAACCCTGCCCCTGCCCTCCTGCCATGCATACTACGGGTACACCAAGATCTGGGAAACGTCTGTCTAGAGCCTTTTGTGCAGAAAGAAAGAAAACTCAAGCCTAACTTTACATTCCCCAATGCTTCCTAATCACAGCCCTGCACCTCGGCGAGGCCAAGGGATCCCTAGCAGCTCTGCGGCCTCTGCTCTCTAAGGTCTCAGGTATGGGTCTCTCTCGCCCTCTGGTGGGCACATCTCAGTAGTGCAACCACAGCCTGCACGACCTCAGTGCAGAAAACTCCTGCCCTCACCACCACACCGGTGGTCAACCTCTGTTCCTTTTTCCAACAGGAGGCTGTGCCCAAACCTGATATCCCTCGGGCCAAAGTAATAGGAGAAGAAAGGGGGGCTGGGGATTTAGCTCAGCGGCATAAGCGCCTGCCTTGCAAGCAGGCAGTTGTGAGTTCGATCCCCGGTACCGATAAAAAGGAAAAAGACAAAAAACAAAACAAAACAAAACAAAACAAAAGGGACTTTCTTCCCGGTCCCTCACGCTTGGTCCTTCCACGGTACAGAATCACCTCCTGACCCCAGCATTCCATGGGCTGCTGCCGCTGTGTCCAGATTCTTCCTTGTGTCTGATGCCCTCCCCCCTTTTTTCTGCAGTTACTGCTTTTCAGTGCCCCCTCGCCCAGCTCTCATCTCTGCTGCCTGCCTGCCTGCTGACCTCACCCCTTGAAGGCTCTGACCTCAGCACCAGCTGACCTGGCCCCGGATGCCCAGCAGTGACCACCAGCTGCAGAGCTCTGGGTTCCTGCTTCCGAGTCTCTGCTCCTCTGAGTCTGATTTCCTTCCTGGGCGTGGCTCGCCTGAATTCAGTGTAACTGACACACAGAACATTGTGCTCCAACAGGTGTCATACCAGGAGTAGGAGTATAATAGAGATGGACAAGCCATAAAGCACTCCTCCGGGGCAGGTGGACATGAGGAAAAGACCCCAGAACAGAGAACAAGGGTGAGAAATAACATAAGGAAGGACAGTGCTCAGTAAATGGCAGCCACAGGGCCAGCCTCTGTACTGCTCCTTTTGGATGAGTTGGCTCATTCAGCCACTGACGAGTCCCTACCCAGCCTCCCTCTGGAACTCCCGGCTCACTGCCCTCCTGGGGTCCTGGTTCAGCACCAGCACTTCCTGCTCTGATCATGTGCTTCTCAGCCTCCAGAACTGGAGCATAAATGTCTTTAATTTATAAATTACGCCGTCTCAGGCATTTTGTTACAGTAGCACAAACTGACCAGGAAGGACATCAGCCTTCCTTGCTGATCAGTGTGACTACATGGTAAAGGGCGCATGATTAGTACCTACAGAACAAACAGCCTTCGGGTGACCCATGTGACGAAAGGAGAGTCACTTCCTTCCCTTCCTCTGCCTCTTTCCGCCCCTCCACCAACTGGATTATCAGAGACACAGTGAGGTGGCTGGCTTCACACTGATAATAGGAACAGGAAGTGACACGAGGGAACTATCATGCTGTCCCAGCACTGCTGATGGCTGCTTGTTAGTCATGGAAAGGAAACTCCTCTTATTGAAGCAGGTCTTTGTGGGCTCCGCTACAGCCACCGCTCCTGAGCCCTTGCTACCATAAGGGCTGTTCCGGTGACTCAGCCCAAGGATGAGGTCTCAAGCCACAGCAGAGAAAGGGTAAGACTGCTCCTGAGACTGTGAGACCTGGGATCCGACTGAACGTGGAGAAGGAGGACCAGTGTGACCTTAAGTTGACAGCAGAGTGGAAGCATTCGAGGTAAGCTGTCCTGTTCACTTTGTCACTTCACATCTAGGTCTAACTTCCTCCTGGCATATCTGTCTTCGAGACCTTTCTTTTTTCCCAAAAACAGCTGCACCAGGACCATTCCTCCCTCCATCACTCATATGTGCTTCTGTCTGGTAGAATCACACCTCCAGTCCCACTTCACCTCCACCTGCTTGACTCATAGCTTTTGTTTTCTTCAGTACTTGGATTGACGCCCCCGTGCATGTTAGGCAAGCACTTTACTCCTGTGGCCTCCCAGTCCCTCTCTTTATCTTTTCTTTCAGGTTGTATCTTACTATATAGCCCAGACTGGCCTTGATATTGTAATCCTCCTGCCTCAGTTCATAAGCAGCTGAGTTTACAGATGTGTGCCATCACACCCCGCACTCACTGCTTCTTGAAAAACTTCTGTGCAAACAGCCTCACCCAGGGAGCTTCCCTGATTCCCTGAGCTGGGTTGAGTCCCTTTTCCCTGTTCTTCCACAATAGTTCCCTTTTGTTATACTGTCTGGAACATGATGGGTACCAAAGAAATAAAATGTGCAGAGTTCTCCTTTATCCCTGCCCCCCAAAATCACCTTCTGGCTCCCACACCATTGTCCCTCACCAGGTTCCCCCCAAACTGAGCTGCAGCACTGAAGCAAAACAAAAGCCAACACGCAGGCAGGAAGAAGAGGCCTCCAGCAGTAAGCCGGGCAGCCTCCTGCAGCCCCTCCCCAGCTCTTACTCAGAATCACCATTATCAAGGGGTGAGAGGTTGCTGCAATCTCACTCCCCATTTGGGCAGAAAAACATGAAGCAAGCCTTCCCAGGGATGTTTAACTTGAATTGTTCCATACCTTAAAATTTAGGACTCCATTTCAAAAATGATTCTGCCTTAGATGAAAGAAGACAAACGCCACTATTTTATCAAGGAAAAGTTATGAAACACCACATACGTCAAATCTCCATACAGCTTTCCTCCTAATGCCGCAAAATGATACCTTTATCACCATTCAATCAAAGGCCTGCTAAGCCGGTGCCGGAAGATGGGGCTGCAGCAGTAATCAGCAGTGTTTCTGGCAACCCCTCGCAACAATCTACTGCACAGCATTGCCATTATAAACACACGAAAGGCTTCCTCGCTTTCGCTCCCCATCATCATCAGCCACAACAGATATTTATTGACTGCCTGTTACAGGCAGGACACTGCCAGGTGTCGGAAAAGAAAGCTAGAAGAGAAATCCCCCAAAGATTTTGAAAAGGGGGAAGATCTGTACCTTAGAAGTAGCAGATCTGCCTTTAGAATGCCTGTCCCATTAGAAAGAAGGCAAACACAGAGACTGTGATAAGGAAAGAGGGTTTGACCAATGTCATTATCAGATGGCTCTGTGCAAAATTTTTGTCAAATGCAGGCAAACTACTCTATTCTCATTATTCAACTGCAGAGTAACTGAGTGGATATGGGAAGCCAAAACCTGCTGCACAGCACCTCTGTCTCTTCTGATTCTCATTCAGCCCTGATGCTACGGTTTGCGTCTTGAATGTCTCTCCACCCCATATGCCAAATTCTGGAGCCCCTGGGAGTTGGAGGAACCTTGAGAAGGATGTTAGGTCACTGGTGTGTGGCCTTGAAGGTGCTATTAGGGCCTGGCTCCTTCCTCTCTCTTCCTGCTTCCAGGCCACCGTAAGGTGAGCAGCCTTGTTCCACTGTGCCCTCCCACCATGGTGATCTGCCCCACCACAGGCACCAAAGCAACAGAGCCAGCCCCATGTGGACTGAAGCCTCTGAAATTGTGAGCCCAAATAAGTCATTTCTCCATTAAACTGATTGTCTCAGATGTTTTGTGACAGTGACCAAAAGCTAACGCACCAGCCAATATGAATGGGCAAATATTTCCATGATCTTATTCTCCATTTGGCCAGGCAAATGTGAAGACTGAATCTGTAAATGTTATTATGTCAAGAAGGTCTCAAAAAACCTCTTTGTATCCAAAATTAGTCATTCGAAGAATGAAAACAAATACAGTGGTGTTAGGAAGGAAAGAAGAAAATTCTATGAGCACAAAAATCCGTGTGCTTTTTTAATGCATTCAAAAACTGATAGGAGCATTGTCATCATCTGCAAATACTTCCCTGGGTCCTGGCAGCAACATGAGGCCTCTATCAGTCATTTCTTAAAATGTTTTTCCACAGTCAAATCGATTAGCATCACTTTCAGCAAGATATTAAAATTTACGTGATTTCACTCATTTGCACAAGAAAAACTGAAGGAAAAACTGTCAGGGTGTTGAACCTTGAAGTTTTATACATCTGAAATCCACCATGCTGGGATCAGGTGTCTGTGTGCTTGTTTTTGCTTACCGTGGAGGAAAGTGAGTATCTGTTCCTGCTTAGAATGCAGAGCCTGAGAGCCACCAAAAACCAATTTCCTCATTCTAAGAGACAAGAAGATTAAGATCCAGGAAGGGCCACGCCCTGCACCATCACAGTATGTGATGCAAGAGGCAGGATTGTCTAAATGCCACCCTGGGACCTCATGCTGGGTTTCCTGAGCCCTCAACCAGTTGCAAAGAGTCTCCTCCCCAGCTTCTCCCAGCAGAAAGTACCACACCCAAGCCTGGCTTCTCAAGGAGTCCATAAAGAAGTTACGAAGGTGGGCAACTTCTGTGGACTCAAGGGCCAGACAACCCCAGGAACAGCAGGGACAGAAAGTCAGACTACCTAGAACCTGGGCAGGGAGCTTCCCCTTCCTGACCATCAGGTTGTGCTCTGCTTGCCCCATAAAGAGACAGATAAAGACCTTCCACAGGATACAAACCCACACTGTATGTGGCAAAGCACCAGCCTCAGCCTGAGTCTTTGAGGATTGGGGCACCTGTATATTGTTCCCCCTGGGGTAACCTAACCTTGTGTGATCCTTTTAGCCAACCTCAATCTCAAAAGGTCTCTCTGTATATATTTGCTCAAATTTGTGATCCTCCTTGTTGCAGCCTCTCAGGGTTCTGGAATTATAAGAATTCTACTTTTTAACCTATTTTAAAAAACAAAACAGAAAAAGGATAGAAATGATACAGAATCTCAAAAATAGGAAATTAACAGCATTAACAGAATACATATTATTATCTTAGAAGTAGTTGCTCAGGTTATATCTAGGCATGAAAAATAATCAAACAATCAAAATGAAAGCACAAACTGTGACACTGTAGAATATGTACTGAGTCCTATCATACAGTAGGTGGATACCAGGATGGTACCACCTGTGTGACTATAGCACCCATGACAAGACTCCTTGTCCCCTACCAAGCCAGATGACAGCAAGCATTGGAAAAGAAACCCAGGTCCCAGACTCCCAATCTGCTACATTGTTATATCTTACTTCAAAATTCTTCAGCCTGGATGGTAATACGTATATCACAGTTACACATATGTAGTCTAGAGGAAGTTATTTAACATTTGAAGCTCTCTAATTGGGAAGATTCACAACAGGGGTGGGTAGTTAACATTTGAAATACTCCCATGAAAACTCCACACTCACGAAGCAGCTGTCTACAAGCATTCCAACCAACTTGATTTCTGATCAACAACACTACAGCTAATTAGCATAACGGATGTTGGAAAATATTTTCATGGCAGAAATGAGCACAGTTCATGATGCATGGGTTGGATAAACATTTGCAGGCATTGTCACCCAAGGGAGATGGGATGTGAGAAGTCAAGGACACTAGGCTGTGGCCTCTGGGGCAGCACCCAGAGCTTAGGGTTCCACTGGTGCTTGTGAAGGACTGTCATCTGACCCCTCTGCTCCACTGCTAAGCCTTTTCTGTGCAGGCATTTTATATCCAACTGAACATGCAAAATGATTTAAAAGAAACCAAGATGTGAGAAAGATTCTGTCTCAGAATAAAAAGGGCTGAGAATATAGCTCTGTGTGAGAATCTTAGCCCAATTTCCAGAAAAGGAGAAGGAGGAAGAGAAGGAGAAAGAGAAGAAGAAGAACAAGAAGAAGAAGAAGGAGAAGGAGAAGGAGAAGGAGGAGGAGGAGGAGGAGGAGGAGGAGGAGGAGGAGGAGAAGGAGAGGAAGAGGAAGAGGAAGAAGAAGAAGAAGAAGAAGAAGAAGAAGAAGAAGAAGAAGAAGAAGAAGAAGAAGAAGAAGAAGAAGAAGAAAAAGAAGAAGAAGAAGAAGAAGAAGAAGAAGAAGAAGAAAGTGAAGGGGAGGGGAAGAGGAGGAGGAAGAAGGTTGGGACATCATAGAATTTTCATGAGCTGGCTTCATGATCATGTTTGTGCCTTCCTGCTAATAAATTTCTCCACATGTAACAGAATTCATCTTATTCTGAATTATACCTTCACTGAAAAATACCACAGGTATAAAATTCAGTAGGAAAAAGAAGGAAGAGGAGGAGAAAGGAAGCCACTTATACCCTTCATTTGACTCTAAATATTGTAAGTGGGAAATATCACCCAAAGTACCCAAAATAGTAAGGGATACAGGGGCTTGGACAGAGCAGCAACTTTTACTGCTCTGTCCTCTAAAGCGCTCCCCGTACCTTACCATGCACTGTCCTCCTTAATGAGCACAATCAGGATGCAAAATTGTAGTAATAAACTAGAACGTGGACATTGAGATGAAATTTTACACAAGCAAATGTCACACTGTCAATTACGACTTATAGGACAAGAGGAAAGAACAGGTTTGCAGCAGCTTTCCACAGAACCTGAGAATGGTGCTTTAATAGAAGTTTACAAATCCAACACTGAGGATGCCTGAGAAAACTATTAAGTATTCAGATGACATCTACAGATCAAGAGAAGAGATATTTTGTAGCATTCCACCCTGATCAAACCACATCTAGACTATGATGATAAATTATGGGTTCTATATTTTAAAAGTCATTTTGACAAATGAGATTAGATCCAGAGGAGAGTGACCAGGAGAATAAGATGTCTTCATATTACAAACAACAAAAACAAAACTCAGAAGATTTATCCTAGAGAAAAGACAAGAAAGG